GTGTGTCGTACGTGGATAAGCCAGTAAGAATCGAGGACAAAATGGAGCGAGTGTTACGGAACAAGATAATCCCAATGGTCAAAGTAATTTGGGAGAACCATGGGACCGAAGGTGCGACATGGGAAAGTGAAGAGTTGATGCGACACTAATACCCCCATTTGTTTGAATAGTTGGGTTGGATTGTAAATTTCGAGGACGAAATTTTTGTGAGGAGGAAGAGTTGTGACATTCCGAATTTCGACCCATTTTTGGGATTTATAAAACGTGTAATTCGTCAGTGTACTTATAGTAAAATCTCGCCCGGGAACTGATCACTCACGGTTATTATTTTTACAATTGAGATTTCGGTAGAATCGCACTCGATCGAATTTGGCCGTTATTTAGAGCCCAAACTTTAGTGTCGAATTTCTTGGAGTTTCTGGACGAATTTAATTGGACGGTGTCGATATTATTGTGGCCAGCCTCGATATTGCCCAGGATATGTGGAAAGTGAAATTTTGACCGGGTGCAGATTTGGACTAGTAGACCTCCCTCATAGTGTGTTTTAATTAATATCTTCTGGCCCTTTTTCCTAATAATTAATTAGGATCTTTTTCGTGACCGTTGGATCGATTTCTAGATCGTTTGTGGGCCGTTGGATTTGCACTTGAGTATTTTATTTGACTTTTTTTCTCTCTCTCTCCTCCTCTTTTCCCGCTCACGTTTCCCCGTCCCGTCTATCCTCTCTCTCTCTCTCTCTCTCTCTCTCTCTCTCTCTCTCTCTCGCGCGCACGTTCCCCTTCCCCTCATGCACGTCCCCTCTTGTACGTTTCCCCCCCCTTCTATCAGACTCTCTCTCCTTTTTCCTTTCTTTTTCTGTTCTTCCTTCTCTTCTTCTTCTTCTTCTTCCTTTCTTCTTCCTCCGCCCGACTGGTTCTGCTCCTGCTCGACCAGTCTTCAGCCCAACCGTCCAGCCAGCTCGTCGGCCGAGCGTGCCCAGCCGTGCCCGAGCTTGCCGGCTGAGTGTGCCCCGCTGTGGCCGGACTACCCCTACCCGTGCAGGACTTGCCTTGGGCCGTGGCCGGACAGCCCAGGCCACTGCCCCAGCCGTGGCCCGTCGCCCGTCATGCCCGTCGCCGTGCCCTACCGCGGCTGAGCATTTTGCCCATGGCCGAGCCCGTGGCCGTGGGCCGCGTCGAGAATTTTGCCCGTGTACCGAGCCGTGGCCGAGCCCCGCGCCCTCGCCCGTGCTGATCCCAGCACTGTTCACCCGGGCCATTTTGAGCTCAAGTGAATTTTTCCCAGGCCAAAACCTAGTAAGTGACTTCCTAAACCCTACCTAGTACATTGGGTATTATTAGACTTGTCTAGGGGTTAATTAGTACCGGTTTAGGGGCTAAACGTGGATTAGGGTCAATATTTGTATGTGTGTAATTGTTAGATTAAATTGTGATAATTGTGAGGCTTAATTAGTGGTTAATTATGGTGGGCTAAATGACCGTATTGTCGTGGCGTGTGTGGGGGAAATTGACGTTTGATTGTGGTCGACTTGGATGTCAAATTGGTGAGCTCGTGGTTTGGAATTGGGATGGTTTTGGGTGCATATTAGTGGCTAATGTTGGTGGGTCAATGATTGGCTTGTTGTGGCATTCGTGGGTGGATTTGATGTTCGTATGTGGCCAGCTTGAATATCGGATTTGTGGGTTAGTGTGATGGGCTTGTGATGTGATTTGGATTCGTACGACGTGTTGAATGGTGAATTGTGATGTGGTGAGCATGCCTTGAGTTTGAATGGTACGACTTGTGAGAATGGCGAATTGTGTTGTGGTGCATGTGCATGAGAAAAGTCCGGATTGATCGGAGGGCTGACATGTGGGGTGTTGACCCGGGTCATGTGAAAGTTTATTTTTGAAAGGTCCTGTGGGTGTTGACCCTGGACAGAGCCCGGATTGATCGGAGGTCTAACGTGTTGGGTGTTGACCCGGGTCGTGTGAAAGTTTGTTTTTGAAAGGTCCTATGGGGTGTTGACCCGGGACAGAGCCCGGATTGATCGGAGGGCTGAGTCTGAGGCGCAGTAGCGCGGGCTGTGAGATTGGGCCAGAGGCCCATTGGCGCGGGCAGTGAGAATGGACCTGAGGCACAGTGACGCGGGTTGTGAGAAAGATGTTGGGCCATGCATGTGAATTGAGTGTGATTGAATTGGCTGGTTGGATGTGTGAGTGAATTGGTTGGATTGATTGAGTGCAAGTGTGGTTGGTGTTTGAGTGATTGTGATATGTTATTGAGTTATTATTATTGCATTATCACGTTTTGACTAACGTGCAGAGTTGGCATACGTTCCGATGGCAAAGGTAAGTACAATGATGTGAGCTCGTTATGTTGTTGGCTAGATTGCATGTACGACTTGTCTAGGTATGCATTGGCCTACGTGGGGTTTAGGGTGTTGCTTATTGAGACTCGTTATCACTGTTATTATATAACCATTTTAGATCCGCGATCGTGAGTGATTTGGAGACGCTGCAAGGGTATCTCGGAGATCGAAGACAGGTTAAGTACCTTGTACTTTGAGTTTCCCCCTTTTTGTAGAGGAGTTAAGTTTATGAACCACTGTCCCTTTTTGATGAACGTGGTTCTATTGTTGTGGCCTAGCTTGGGGATTGTCTTTTTGTGAACGTTGTATGTATCTGCCTAGTGTAGGAATTACAGTTATTGTTTCGTGCTATTGCCACCCCTTGTCATTATTAATTGCCTGGGTTGTTTCAATTTGTTTCTGTGCGTACCTATTCTCTGATGTTTAGGTTGGGTCGGCGACGTGCCTGGGACGTCGCATTCATTGATCGACCATCGAGGGGTGTCGCGAGCCCGTTAGGGTTCGGGGCGTAACAATGGGAGATGACACGGCCGTCTTTCCACTTGAAGGACGCAGCCTCAAATCACCCAAAAGTCCCCATGACATCGCTCTCGCTCTATTGGCTGCTAAACAAAGAACCTGAAAGATTGCGAAAAGAGGGGGTGAGCAACGACAGTTCAGTAAGTAGTGCGTATCTCTTCTAAGCAAATCGAGCAACCACTATGCATATATAAAAATATCGAAAACTCATAATTTAAACCCACAATATCATATACATATCATATCAAATATGAGTTATTTTTTCTTTTCACAAAACTCGATACAAACCAGAAAACATTCATTTGATACGTCATTACAATTCAATCATCATTAGTCAAGTCCATTGATTAATCTCGCCAAATCACACATCAATGGTTCAATCCATTAACCAATCTCAAGAACTCACATATCAATGGTCTATTCCATTGATTAATCTCATCATAAAATGGCTTGTTCGGGGTAGAGGCACAGCCGCACTGCCATCCCTCAACCCGACCCGATATTATCCTCTTTGAGCCGCAGCCGCACTGCCATCGCTCTTAAGGATTTGCCCCGGCACGGCAGAAAACACATCGATGGTCTATCCATCGACCAATCTATTGCTCAACATCATACCATGATCACGTATCTCGCCCCGTGATAAGGCGACCAAGATTCCCCCCTTGGCAAGGTCTCCACCTACTATAAATTGGTGGCTTGGCCCACAAGGATATCCTAGACTAGTATGCGCATACCCACAAGCCCCTCAATGGGCTCACAGCGATATTGAGCACCAACACACATCCTCCAATAATCCACAATACCAAAAATCAATTTCACAAACCAAACAATTAACTTTTCACAACATAGAACATCTGTCATTTCTCAAATCATTTTATAAATCACAATATGGTTCCAAAACCATTTCATAAATCGCAATATGCTTCCATAATCATTTCGCAAAGTGATACATATATATCATTTCATAAACATAATTCACAAATTGATACGAGTAACTTTTTGTAACGTTTTTCATAAAACATTTCTCAAATCATCTTAAAACTCGTTTCATAAACCAATTCGCAACATAATACACATGTATCCGTTAACAATATTTTTCCTAAAACCATTCTCAAATTTCTCAAATCGTTCTCAAATATCAAACTGGTAGTAATTGCCCGATCCAAAATTTTATGCAACAAATATGCTCTAGTAACTCGTACAATACTCAAATTCTTATCACTTTCAAAACATGAGTTTATAAACTCAAAGAAGAGATAGCACCACTCATCTGGAATGCCCCAAAACCAAATAACGTGGCTAAACGCCCCGATAATCTCGTAATCCTATCAATTGAACGAGAATCAACATCAAAATTAAGTAAAATACTACAATAATCACTAAACGGCTGAACAATGCTTAAACGCTAACAAAACAATTCAAAGGTGCCCATAAATTGCTCATCTGAAGCCATTATCCAAATCGTCCGCAACGCAGAACTTAAGCACAAAACTTGATCGCGCCATAACTTTCTCCATCGAACTCCGATCCTACCAAACTTATAGTCAAAAGAAAGACCGTTCCGAGTATTACAAAAGCCTTAACTTGGCCGTCCCAAAATCAAGCCAAAAACCGACGAAAATCTGCCTAAAGCCCTCTGGTCGCGCACTGTTCACCTTGTGCGGCCAACTTCAAAAATTCATATTGGGCAAACCGTAGGTCCAAATCAAGATCCGTAAAATCCCACGGCTCCACGACACCCTAAACTATCAATTCTATATATATACGTAGCTCAACGATTCAAAAATCGGATTTCGCCGCACAAATCTCTAATAATTCCGAATTTCAAGCCCTAAATCCGAAACTACTCCGATGGAATGAACGAGGGGTGCGAATACATATCGGATGTTGCTAATCAAAGTCGAATCGGGGTTTGCGCAGCACCAAACCCTCCCTCTTCTCCTTCTTCTTCTTCTTCTTCTTCTTCTTCTTCTTCTTTTCCTCTCTTTCTTTCTTTTCTCTCTTCTTTTCCTTCCTCCCCGAAAGCTCTCGGTCCTCTTTTATAATTGAAGTCCACTGTAGCAAATATTGACTTTTTGACTTTTTGACTTGTTGGCCCTTTTTTTTTTTTTGAAATACCCAAATATTACAGCCCTCGTCACTGCTGCCAGTAGAGGAAGAATAAGGATGGTAAAGGCATTACTAGACAAGGTTGATCATGATCCTGAAAGTGTTACCACTGCCCTGTTGGATGCTATTACTAGGTCTCCTATGGAAAGGGAGTTTATTTGGTACCTCACTGGGCGTACTACATCCACCCCCGATAGTGATACCATGGGCTGGCTTATTGTGACTGGCCATTTAGGTAGGATTTCACACTTATTCATCTTGTCTCAATTCCTTCATTGTTTACTTGTATTAACCTTTTCTACTCGTGTCCCAAAAGACATAGCCTTGTATTTAGCTCGCAAGTACCCCGGTTTAGCGACAACCAAAGATGGTGCAAATGAGTGTCCATTGGAAGACTTGGCGGTTATGAAGTTTCACTTTCATAGTGGAGCTAGACTCAATTTTTGGGAAAATTTTATCTACAAATGTAGGTACTTCTTGCACTTCTTTTGCCAGATATGTACATTTGAGCAACTCTATCCACATGTTTACTCTATTTGTTCCCATGTTTAGGTATTCCTTTATGCTTGGTCAACACATCATATGACAACTCCAAACACACAAAGACGACTCGAGGTAGTTCTGTTAATCTGCTTAATGGATGGACCAACATGACAAAAAACATGACATTCAAGGATCGAATTGATAAAAGATTTAAGGGATGAGAACTACATTTATGTATACAAATTAATACCTAAACAAAGATGCATGTCACAAATTAATATCTAATATAACATATGTATTACACATTGTTCAAATTACGAAGTAGAATTATCGAGAATTTTAGGTTTGGATTCTGACCATAGAGGTTGTTTGATCTAAGTTGTTATCATTTTATGTTCGCAATATGTATCTTTTTGTTCGTCATCAATTCCAAATTTGCTAACATGATTCTTCTCTCCTCTTTGTGGTGGTAGCACCAGCACTTCAGCAATTCAAAATGTCACTCTGGAATCTTGCCACAAAACCAGGTACATGAAACTATCATTTTATATATAAAAAAAAGGACCTTATTTCATCCATGGGTCAAGATCTCTAAATTTAAAAAGTAAATTGATATTCTCAGTATACTCCTTTGAGATAGTAATTAATAATATGGACTGGCTCTCGATTCTCGTGTTACTATATGATTTGATTCGATTCGATTCGATTTAATTTAACTCAATGGCTAAGCTACATGTATACATTAGTGAATTTGCAATATTTTCAATCAAAAATAGATCTATCAATCTGCTGCTAAATCTTCCATTTTTCAAAAAAGAAAAAGAACTCTCTTTTATCTTATGACATTGTGATTGTTCATCAATTGATCAATCAATTCTCCGATTTGTGCAATTTGATTCTCAAGCCATATTAAATTTTCTTTCTTGATTCATATCTCAAATCCATCATTTTCATCTCAACTACTATATATACATAAGAACACAATGCAAATGAGAAAGCCTCTTTAACCTTTTGATTCCTCATCACTGGGAAGATTTCTTATCTGATGTTACGTGCAGCACCTTTCATTAAAAGGATTGGAGAATCGAAGTTGAGGCACAAATGCTCACTTAAGTTAGCAAATCTAGCTCTTATCAAGAATAAGTCTCGTATGACTACTCCCGAAAATCTCGAGTATCTATTGACTTCAGGCATTGTCCTTGATGCTACATCTCGCGGAATCTCTGAAATTGTCAATTTATGTATTGTGCATTTTCCGGAGTTGATGTGGGATGAAAGATTCATAAGAAAACTGATGAAAGAAGCTGTGAAGGGACGACATGTTGAATTGTTTCTGCTAGTGAGGGCACACTACATTCCACAATTAACACCCGATTATTGGATGAAATTCGGTCTAATGAAGGCTGTCACCAAATGGTCACCAAGATGTGAATCCCCAGATGTCTCAGGAGCAGCTTTTCTAATGCAAAGGGAACTTCAATGGTTTAAGGTCGGTTCACCTTATTTATTTTGCACCCTTTTGTGCTCTTTAGAACATACATTGATAGGCATCCTTCATTTTTCTGAAGGTACTGGAAGATAGCAGCATTCCTTGTATAAAAAGTCTGAAATGGCAAGAAGAAAAGAGGACATACTGGGAAAATATTGTAGAAAAACGTTGTAATTTGGTCAAAGAGGCAGGGGTTTGGATGAAGGATACATCAAAATCTTGTAGCCTCGTTGTGACTCTTATCATTACCATAGCTTTCACAGCGATTTTTACAGTACCTGGAGGCAACAACGATAGTACAGGGAACCCAATCTTTCTAAAGAATGGTTCGTTCATGGTATTCGCGGTTGCAGACGCTTTTGCTCTCTTCTCCTCTGTCACTGCCACCTTGATGTTCTTGGCTATCTTAACTTCACGCTATGCAATCGAAGATTTTCTCCTGTCACTGCCGAGAAAAATGATACTGGGCCTCACTTTTCTATTCCTCTCTTTGGCGTTTATGCTGGTGGCATTCAGCTCTGCTCTTACAGTCATCTTAAGCGAAAAGTGGAAGTGGATTTACATCCCAATTATTTTGCTGGCAACCCTCCCTCTCATATTGTTCGCAATCCTAAACCTACCCTTATATGTTCAAATGGTTGAGTCCACCTATCGGCCTCGCCTTTACTGTTCCGTGATGTTTGGAAAGTGATTTCTGCTATTATTGGACAAGAAGATCCATGATATGATCTTTGTTTGCACTTGTTTCTGTGAGTGCAATGTGAATATCATGGTGTTCACTCATGTTTTAGAACTTATGAAGTGAGACATTAGCTATTTTTATACTAAAGACAAATGTATGCTGTCAATGGCATACCTTGTCTCGACGTGTTATTTTATATTTTCCCCCCAAACAGTGAACAATTACTTCATTGCACATTGTCACGTTGAGGTGAACCCAAATTTGGCAACATGGCCGTCAATACTCAATAAGATTCATCCCTTCAAATAAAGCAATAATCAACACAACTATTCTATCCTACATAAAATGGCCAGCCAACTGGCCTAACGCGAGGAACTTTAGATGTAGCAGGCCGAGCAAGCAACTATTTCCGTTCGATGGAAGCTCAGCCTTAGAAATCAATCTTTCACCCACTGCCCATACTTGCACCCTATCCTCCCATCCAACTCTTTGATTTGACCTCTGCCATCTTAGTCACATTGGCCACCTATTCCTTTGCTATCCTCATGCTCCAGCTTCTTCTCCATCGCGTCCCTCGCTGCACCCAACCCTTCGTACTCTCTCACCCAAAGATTGTGGACGGTGCACGTCAGCCGCCAACATCACCAGTTCCATCTGCAACATAGCCATCAAAACCCCACACTCCAGCATCACCACGACTGTGATCTCAGTAGCGAAAGACTAGATGTTTTTCTGGTGAACGACGCCAGGACGCCGAGAACCTAGTCGGACAGTGAAGCGAGGAGGACCGAGACATGGGTAGTTATCGCGACCGTCCCAAAATTTCCGTTGAAGGGAGGAAAAGGGAAAAGGTTTAGAGATATTACCAAAAGGCGGGCCTACGGCCCTCAATTAGGTGCGGGCTCTCCCAAGCACTTACCGCGACGTTGGATTCATTTTAGATTTGATTTAGCTTCAAAAGTTCATAGTGAGACGGGAGTCGCCGTTAGCTTTTTGGGGTTGGCTAGAAACCAAGTGAAACACCAGAGTTTATTTCGCTTCCTATGCAACTAGAGATCAGCTAGATTCACGGACTATCTCTAATTTGCTAGGATTGTTCATCTATATGATCACACACTCTCGTTTACTAATTATGAACCCTAAAGGTCGCTTGATGTTGATAAGCAATCATGCGACATTCTTTAAGAATTTATTAGGCAAAAGAACACTACAAGTGCCATAACTTGTGTACGGCGCTCACTTTGGTGCCATAAGTTTTTTTTGGATCACTTTAGTGCTAAAATTTTTGAAAAATGATCACTTAAGTGCTAAAATTTTTGAAAAACGATCACTTAAGTGCCAACTCCGGTGCCGTACACAATTTTTCGCCGGAAATCCAACGTGGCATTTTTTATTAATTTCGAAGGCGACATGGCTCGCGGGAGATTGGCACTTAAGTGATCGTTTTCAAAAATTTTAGCACTTAAATGATCGTTTTTAAAAAATTTTAGCACTTAAGTGATTGTTTTTCAAAAATTTTAGCACTGAAGTGATCCAAAAAAAACTTATGACACTTAAGTGATCGTTTTTCCTCCGACTTGGCACCAAAGTGATCCGAAAAAAAGTTATGGCACCAAAGTGATCTCCGTACACAAGTTATGGCACTTATAGTGTCCTTTTGCCGAATTTATTATGATCCTAGACTAGTCCTAACAATTCTCGAAAGAAAAAAAAATGAACAATCTATTAATGCAGAAAAGAAAACCCGATACTTGGCGGGCAAAAAATAAAAATGGCTATGTTATAAGCACTAGGACACGATCCCCATAAGCTTGACCAGATACCAAGTTGGGCAAAAAATATTACATTGTCTTATTATAAGCATTGGGACATGAACTCCCATAAACTTGATTCTAGAGATTAATCCTAATTCTAGATTAAGGTGAGTTTATTAGAGGCAATAGTACTAATCTAAACTAAACTAATCATTTATTAAAGGAATGATCCTAAGTCCAAATTAGTTTTTATTCTCTAATTATACTAGCTAAGACTAGACTAGTTTGATTATTAATTCCAAGGACTATTGATTAGACTAGCCTAATTAACACTAAACTAAGCTAATTAAACCTAAGTCTAAACACCTCCTTGGAGTGCAAACAAGGATGCCTGCTCGGGCTCTGGAGCACTGCCCTCCATCGTCAATTCCATTCAATTATCCGAACATACAGTCACTCAAATCAAGATATTAACAAGCTTACACAAATCAATCGGCAATTAAGGATTTCAAGTTTTGTTCGGGAATTTATGTCGATCATGTGATTCAATTGCCCATCCACCCTGTAAAGTTAGGGGTTAATTAATCGATGCTAAGTGATTATTAGATTCCACGTGCATTTCACAAAGCAGTAGGCTAAGTCACTAGAACATAATTAGAGTCTCATCCTCGTTTCTAAACTACCTGCCAAAGGATCATGCATCGTTAATCAGACTTGAACCACACAAAACCAATTAAGCATGCATTAAGGCTAATTAGCCTTAGAAACCACCCAATCAGATAGTTGACCCAAAGGTCAACTTCTCTATTTTTCCCACAATTCTAACCAATTATTTTTTAATTAAATTAAAAGTCTTACTCAACTTAAGATGTCTAGTTTAATTCTCATTACCATTTTTCCTAATTGTGACCTAATTGATACAGAAAATTCAATTAAGACCCACTACTCTAGATTTTGCCCTATTTTGACCTGGTTTTTCTAAAATACGGTAAAAACAGTAAACGAGCTTCAAATAGCGCCAAATTTCACAAACAGCTAGCCTAGGACGCGCCTTACATTATTTAACTTTTATTTTTAGCAAAAGAGCCCCGCAACTATGACAAAATGCCCAACTTTCCCAAAAGATATTAAATTTAACCATCACACACTCACGGTTTGTTTTTTAGTAAGAACTAAACTTGTCATTTTTTTTTTTGGTGACCCAGGGAACTCCCGCACGGCCGACAGCCGGGAGGTAAACCCTGGGGGCGACACGTGCTAGCCACCACACACGTGCACCGGTTAAGTCACCCTGCGGCACCCGGGATTCGAACACTCAACCTTTTGCGAGAGGAAGAGTGCGCGCTCCAGCAGCGCCACCCAGGCGGGTGGTGAACTAAACTTGTCATTTATATCTAGTAAAACCAGAATCCACTTTCGGGGTCTCAAAACAGAACAGATCTCTAAGTGCCTGTGGAGGACGTGTCAATCAGTGCTCGGTGAGTTTTTTTTCCTGTGGGTCTTCGCTACCCAGTCCGTCACATTGTTACTGTTTCTATTACAATATAGTAGCTTTAAATTAGAAAATGAAGACAGCAGCCCACGTGCTTCGCTGACGAGAGCACGCTGTTCCCACGGCGATTTGTTACTTACTTTTCTTTGATTGTTGGCCCACATGACGTCAGCATTATTGGTTGTGCGATTTTTTTTATACAAGACAACTGATCATAATGCCCGTACATACCACGTTCAATTCCGTCGACCATTCTGACTTCCCAGTCGAATCGAGGACATGGTAGAGACGACAACCACCATCACACATTACTAAAGAGCAGTCATCAATTATTTTCCTCATCCGGCCCTACCACTCTTCGGTCCGAGTCTCCAAGGCCATGTGCAACGCACTGCTTGCCTTTAGCAGACCAAAAGGAAAAGGAAAGAGCTTAAATGCACCCGCGTCAATCGATCAGTAAGTTTCCCGAATCTTCCGCCTAATGTTTTGTCCGCGTTTGCCTTTATTCCTCCTATTCAAGTCCTCTGCACCAGGCCGATGGCATCTTTACATTAAATTATTTACCGGAATTCTTGTCTTCCAACGAAACATTTATTGGAAATCAATGGTTAATAGTAGGGAAGTATTGGGGAGACATTACAATCTACGCTTTCACAAGAAAATGAAAGACGAGGCGCTGTTGAAGTCATACGTGAAAGCTAGAGTTCCTAAAGTTAAGGATTGTGTCCTTCAAAATTCGTGGGAATGTTTGTTCGATGAATTTCGACTACACATTATGGAGCTGTAAGTACAGCAGTGATAGTCTCCAATTGGGCGGAAAAATTGTCCAAAAAAGTTCTAAATATATTGCACTTTTGTCAATTCAGTCATAAATCTTTAAATTTTATCAATTGAGTCATAAATCTTTTCATTTTTTTTGTCAATTAAGTCCGTCTGGCCAATTTTAGCCCAAAATCACTAACGTGGATAATTTTTAATAATATTTTAATATTATTTCAATATTTTTTTGTTTTTTGAATGTTTTGAATTTTTTTTCCTTTTTTTGGTGCTTTTTTTCTTTGCTGGCCAATATCACTGGCGACCCATGTTGACCGCGAAGGCCCTGGGCAAGGCCATCACGGCCTCACCAGCCACGGGAAAGGGCCTTCGCTGCCTCTCCAGTCGTGGGCGAGACAGCCCTCGCCCGTGGCCGGAGAGGCCACGATGGCCTCACCCAAGGCTTTTGGGGCCCTACCGGCCGTGAGCGAGGCCTCGTGGCCTCGCCCAGGGCTTTTGGGGTCCCACCGGCTGTGAGCAAGGCCTTCGTGGCTGGCGAGGTTCGCCGGTGATCCTCGCTGGCACAGGAAAAAAAAAACCAAAGAAAAAAGGGAAACAGGAATTCTTGTCTTTGACGACAACAATTATCAGAAATCAACGTCCACTATCGAGGCTACTATGTAGGAAATAGTAAGGGACTATCTGGGAGACGTACAATAGGTGCTTTCACAAGAAAATGAAGAGGAGGAGCTATTGAAGTTAGGGGTGTCAGAACCGAATCGAGAACCGAACCGAACCGAACCGAATCGAACCGAAAATTTCATGTATTTCGGTTCGGTTTCAATTTCGGTTCGGATAATCAAAATTAACCAATTTTTTTTTCAATTTGGTTCGGATCGAACCGAACTTAAATAAACACTTCGGTTTTAGCCCTATCTCGCCCTCTTTCGCTCTCGCATCTCCCTCTCTCCCTCTCCCTCTCCTCCTCGCCAATCCGCCTCCGAAAT